AACACCCTGCATATTCACAGTATTACATAAGCAACACTGGACTACCTTGAAAAATAAAGTTCCAGCATTCTTCAGAGTAGAAATTACCTTGGAAAAAGCAGCTTCTTTGGGGAAAAGTTGAAATTACATTTTAAAACCTGTTTGTTTTTTGCGTGGGCGGTGGTTACTTTTGTCAGTTTATATCATTGTCTAAACTAACTTGAGTACCCATTTTCCCCATTTTCATCAGAAAAAACGTCTGGCAATGATTTGGGACCCTATAGTGTGTAAACAGCTTCTCAGCTTGGCCAACAATTTAGAAGCTAATAAAAACTAAATAAATAAGTTTGCCAGAGAATAACTGGATTTTATTGCCAGTTTCTCAAAGTGATTTTATTTTTGGTAGAACGATGGGACACTTTGGTATACAAACAAACGTGCAATACGACAGATGCTCACCCTCACTTTCTTCACTCATTTTGACAACCAGTTTGACTGTTCAAATCTACTTCGAAAAGAACAGGACAGGTGTTGCTACAAGGTTCCCACATTTAGAGGCTTCCCAGTGCCCATACTGTCTGTCTTCTCCTTCTTCCCTGTATTCTTGCCTGCCACATCTTGATATAAACTCAGTAGGGGAGGCTGCCTGGAGGACAAGGCACACTTAAAGGAACGGGGCTGTGTCTGGGTTGGAGCTCCCCGGCCCTGTCCACTTTTACTTCAGCTGAGCCTTCTAGCTTGGGGTGCACTATTTAGGGTTGCTGGTTCCTGGCTTCAGCTTTGGTAACGCTGTGTGACCCCTGGATTCCAAAACTCATGATATTCACCATGTTGCTTGGTAGTAGTCCAAAACTGTATCCTACTTTATGTTCTACCTGCTTGGCTGAGCTTTGATTTCAGAGTGCCCCCAGTCATTCCTTTTCTGTGACCTCCATCTCCCTGCTTCAGCCACAATCCAGTCCTCCGGGGAACAAAAATGAAAATCATCTAAAATGCCAACGCTCATCCCCAGGCACAGTAATATCCCACAGGGAGCTAAGAGTATATCCCAGGTTCACCTCACTCCTGTGTGGCATGCTCCATGTAGAAAGAAAACAAAACAGAAAAGTGCACAGAGTACTTATCTCAATTTCCATGCAAGTCCACAGCCTCTCTTTGCTTGGGCTTCTTTCTAAGTTCCCCGTCACAGTTGATGCTTCTGTCTTCATGCTTCCCAGGGCAGGTTCTGTACTTTGCAGCTCCTCCAGCCAGACTGTGCATCTTTGGCCTAAGCAGGTTCTCAGTCACCTGACCCTTCATTTCCAACTCCTGGGTCATCAGCAGGCTCTGTCTATACCTGGACTTGGCAACCATCTTGTTTTACATCCTCAACCTGTGTGCTAGCACCCAGAGGCCCAACAACTCAGATCACACAGTAACGTTAAGGGAAGGAGTGTGTGCATGTGCAGGGAAAGAAACAGAGGTGAAATTGGAAAAAAGGGTGGGGGGAAGGTAGCAGTGAGAGCAAACCCTAAACCCATTTCCCTAGTAACAGGGTAAGGGCCACACTACACCATGTTATCCATAAATATTCAGCATTATTTTTTCCAAGACAGGTGTGCTTGGTTTGTTCATATAAACAATTTAACAGAGAAGCCCAGGCAAGCTTACAAAATCTTTTGTGGCATATGACTTTGAATCATACATGTGCAGGTAAATATATGAAATGTAACAATCTGCAACCCATATAATGTTTATTTTGCTTGTTGGTATTCCTGGATTAAAAAATTCTTGTTCAGTTCACTTAAGAATTCCTTCCCTTGAAATGATCTGCATCACTGTCAGAAGCACTGATCCCTAATTTTAGTTCTTATGAAGCCCTGCCCGAAACATCTTTGGAAAGATAAAATAACTTTTGTTCTTATTTCAAAAAGCCTTCCCCTTTGTTAATTCATTGCTGAAACCCAGGTCCATAGCTTGGACATTTCTTTCTGGATTACTGTAACCTTCACTTAAGTGAAGCACGTTTCTCCTTTCCACATTCTTCACAGTGTCACTAAATCTCTCCCACCCCTCTGTCCACAGCACTGTTTTTAAATCAGCCTCTGGCTTATTAAATTTTTTGTGAAATTCAAATCTCCTAGTTCCTTTTTCATAAGGATCTTTACAATTTTGCCTCCATTATACTTCAGTGCTCTCCTCAGTGGGTCTCCCAACCCCTGAGACTGATTCCAAACTTTTCACCGAATTCTTCCCTTTGTTTCCTTCCTCCCCTATTTCTACTATGCAGGCCCTGTGCCTGGATCTATCCAAAGCCATAGTAGCCACAGTAACACTCTCTTTTCTCCACATCTCAGGTTGTCGTCTCACGTTTTTCATAGTGTGACCCACATCTTCCAGAGATTATCTCATAAACCAGCTTGGAGGTAATGGGAGGATGGATGCTTCAAGTTCTATTTATTTGAATGCATATTACTATACTGGCACCTCCCCTTTAAAAGTAGACAGCTTTGGTAGATTTTGAGAATCAAAAATGCCACCTGCAGATTCAGGCTTCTGGCCTTTTATCAGCAGTACTGTGAACTCAAAGCTCCAACTGAAGTTAATGGAAGCTACCTCTGAAAACTATGACCTAAAATTCAGTTGAATACAATCATTTTGTTTCCATTTAAGAGGACAAGATTTAATACTGGATATTTTGGGGAAAGGGGAACTGTTTTTGCATAAGTTAAGAGTTTCAAAACTTTACAGAATTATAAATTACACTATTTAACTCTCTCTCGAGCCGTTTCCCTGGTAATAAACATGGCAATCAAATGAATCACATTCTTCAAAAACAACACATTTTGTAAGTATAAGTTCTTCACATAGCTTCACAATTGAATTATTCCAATGGTTCCAGCTCCTCTTTACATCCTAAAAGATGGTGGCATGTGGTTAGATAAAACAGGCTTGCTTGCTCAAAATGTTTTCATTTTAAAAAAAGAGACAAGAACCAGTATTACTCTTTTTCCTTGGTAGTAAATGCTACTGTCTAGTAGCAGGATGCTCTTTTAGTAGTAGTTGAATATTCTTTTCTTCCTCTCTTTTCCTTTGTGGTAAGATTAAAAAGGAGTTTTATTGGACAGATAAATAGCATATTGTAAAAAAGGAAATGAACAAGTACTTTTACTTCAGTTTTATTGTAAATTGATGGATCACTGTGTTTTTCCCAATTGAAAACTGGATGTCAGTTCAGCTGGTTGTTGGTTTAACCTACAAAGCTTAAAGGAAACTGCATAGATTGAATTGGTTCTGCCTTGGGCTTTTTGATTTTCTGTACTTAGCCTTATTGACTGGACCCTAAAAAAGAGGCTCTCTATCATAGAGATACATGCAAAGGGAAATGATGCAAGGCAGAGAGCCTTTCCTGGGACAGTGGTTAGTACCAGATGCTTCAGTAGCAGGAACAGGAATATGAGAAGTGAGTTCCCAACTCTCAGACTTTTTTTTTGAAAACTTTTATCCCTAATTCTTTTTTGATTCTTGCAGACATCTGGGCCTCAAGACTAGTGTGGTGACACAGACCCATAATTATGCTTACAAACTTACTATGCCCCTGGGGCTGCCTTTTTTAACTGAAAATTGTTGATCAAATGCATTTTTACATGCTTACTTTGACATCATAAACACTGCCATATACCATAATACCACTACAACCTTAGCAGAAAAAAAACCCACCCACTAAAATGGTATTCTAAACTGTGACTTTACTTGGAGAAAGTGGAGAGGGCTCAGGATTTTAGATACATATTTAAAATATAAGGACAGTCTTTCCTTTACAGAAATGTTTAAGTGGAGAAAGGTTTCAGAAAAGTGAGGACGCCTTGGATATTTTCCATATGTGACCAGAGAAAGAAGTATGGATGGGTGGATGTCAGGGAAGAAGGATTACAGGTTTCCCTTGCTTTATGCTGTACATGTGTTCCTG